CACCCCGGACAAATCGCCGCTGGATACACCCCAGTTCTCGATTGCCACACCGCTCACATCGCCTGCAAGTTCGCTGAACTTAAGGAGAAGGTATGTTCTATTAATCTTACAACTTTAATTAAATATGTTTTTTAAGGTTGACCGTCGTTCCGGAAAGAAGGTTGAAGACAACCCAAAGTTCCTCAAGTCTGGAGATGCCGGTATCGTCGAGCTCCACCCCACCAAGCCACTTTGCGTTGAATCTTTCACCGACTACGCTCCTCTTGGACGTTTCGCCGTTCGTGATATGAGACAAACCGTCGCTGTCGGAGTCATCAAGTCTGTCGACAAATCTGCCGGAGGTGGAGGAAAGGTCACCAAGTCCGCCCAAAAGGCCGGAGCTACAGGAAAGAAGAAGTAAACTATGTTCCGTTGTTTCTGGTTGATTTTAAATGATCGTTTAATAAACGTATTTGGTTATGGTTTATTGAATGTACAACATGTAAACACCAAATATAAAAAATATTGTAGTTGCTATCAATCCCACTGTTAAGAGATAATCGCATAAGTCTCCTTCTAAGAGAATGGAAAGCCATGACGGCTTGTTGTGTAATGGAATTTCAATATCTGGGTTTTTTTCTTCATGGCCGTTAGGGTGAATGTGTTTTATCGGGTGGGGTTGGTGGCACGGCAGGCCTATTGTTTGAGTTGGAAAGAAGGACGTCATTTTGTAGGGTTTCGTAACTTTCAAGGTCGAATAATGGTTTTCTGGTATCAGATTTATTGACGTCGGTGGACTGTGATGAGATGATGTGCTTGTGTTAATAGATGAAGCTAATGACATTCTATAAAGTAAGTCTTATGATTCTCGACTGATCACACGTGGTGTTTTATCTGATGTTTTGCTTACCTAGCTAATTCATGATTGAAAATATTTTTAGGTGTGTGATAAGGCTCTTCCTCCAAATACATCGTATACTCCCGTAATACATTCAATAACTCTTGTTCGCTTTCGTCAACATTAGGGGTTTCCATTTTAAATCTGAAGAGAGTAAGTATAGCGATTATCATAGTTTGTTTGAGTTGTTTACACAAACATTCCTGTTTGAGCAATAATCTGAGGTAGCATAAAGAGTTCTTATCGGTTCTCAAATTTTTTATCATCATATATCAAAAAGATATGTTCTGTTAGTTGTCTCTTTACAACTTTGAAACGGGAAAGGAGTAATGATGATGTAAGTGACTAGTGTAGTTTGTTTGAAATGGGGACGAAACAAGAAGTGGACAACGAGTGGAGTTATATTATATACATAGAAGTATCTGAGTTAACGAAAAGATGCTCTTATACAGAGAAGTATAACAGCAAACGCAGTAGAGTTTTGAAGTATTAGACCTGAAGTAAGTTTCAATATTCTCGTAATTGCCCATTTTTGTACAGAAAACGGCTTAAAGTTTACACAAGGAAAGCTTGGTCAAAGAACAAACCGAGATAGTGTACATTAGCTCAACGAGACAGGTTAGAAGTTACTTTAAAGTTTCACAAAAGTTTGTTTGCTAGCCTTTGTGAATAGCTTCACTAAGAGGAAAAAAAGATTTGTAATTAATGTTTCGACCAAGCGAAACACGGGGATATGATTAACGAAAGAAATTTTTATTCAGTTGAGTGAGTCTGTAAGAGGAGCCTCTTATCGGGCTAGCGATCCTAATTATTAAAGATGGATAAAGATGCCTTTATGCACTTGAAATCTTCAACAAAGAAAAGGAGAAGCATGACATAATAATATAAGAACGTGATCAGAACGAAGAAGAAGCAACAGATGGATGATCAACAGGCCCACAAACTGTTGACAGAATCGAAGGCTATGGTCCTCGCTGATGCTCTTCAAAAGGATTATCATAACCGACTAATTAGAATACAGAGAGAACGCGGTATTTCCATGCTCTCTCTTCACTAAGATTGAATGAAGATAATTTAGCAGAATTCGTAAGCACAGTTTACAAAAAGAAAAAGATTATCATCGAATTCGAGCAGACATCTGTCTTCTGTTAAACAAAGAATTCTCATCAGTATTGTCGACATAAGGACAGATACTGCCTGAACCACAAAATGTACAAAATGAGGCAGAAGTTCATCTGCTACCTTAGGAGCTATGCTACAGAAACTGTAGATGAAACATTGAATTAGAATGAAATACTTTATTTACAGATGCTGGAGGATCCTGCGATATCCTTATGAAGGTTACATGAAACAGCTAAATCCGGGGTGAAGGACATTTGAGCAAAATCCCAGTATGGCCTTATACAGTTTATGACAATCGCTCATTATACAAAGTCTAGGCATTGGTCCTTCAAGGCATTAGGCCTTAATTATTAGATAGCACGACATTTTTCTCGCGATCCTCACATTTTTTCGAAACAGTCTTAATTTTTCCAAATGCTGAATCACTATTGAGGCACTCATTACATTCCAATCTGTATGTCCTACCAAAGGCTAGATTAATAAATAAATACTGAAGGTTCTGCTGGAATCCATCTGGCGAGCCAGTTTCATACCGTTGTTTTTCGTTCTCATCTCACTTAACAAGTGCCGATCGTTAGCGCGAAATAGAACGATGTTTTTCTTTCTCACCTTGAATCTCCAGCAACGGCTGAACATCATCACTTCGACTTCGACCACTTTCATTCCTCATAATCTCACTGAGAGAGCGGTTACATGTAGGCATGGAGCAAAGTTTCATTCCTAACCTCTTCATATAATGAGCGGTTGTACATAATATCTTGAAGTTTTCATTCCTGTCTTTTCCTGATAATGAGCGGTTGCGAGGTCAGTTTGAAGAGCTTCACACACTTCTCAATTTGTAGAGGTAGCTTGTTCCTATCTAGATATCTTCGCGGTCCGAATTTATTTCATCACATAAAACAACAGCATTTGAAACTCCCCATTATCAATAAGTGATAAGATTCATTTCTGTGATGAATTCAAAAATTGCGACAAGTTGTGCAATCCTTGCGAGGCAATTCATCGGGGACTGGAATCACCTGTAGTGTTACTGCTGTCTTTTTATTGAACTTTAACAAAGTCTATTTGATGACAATCTCTTTCGCAATAATTTCAGCTGCTCGCGTAGTGTTTTCGTTTGCAGCAAAACAAAGACAATATTTAATTCCTTCGGTAAAAATAATTTTCTCGTGAAATTAGGAAAATAAGACGGGTTGGTTTTTTTTGCAGGGGAATGTAACCACGTATAGAAGCTGGAAGAAGATTGAAATTGAAACCTGCATGATTCTCGTTTCATAGTGATATCTTGTGTCCCTTCCTCTAATCCTGGTTTTCATTTTGTTGTATTAGGTGATGAATACGTAAACGAATCTCATACCCACGAAATATATATATATATATATAGATGTTCTGTGGCTTAGCGTAGGAGGTGTTATACGACTTCACCGATTAGCATATTATTTAAATTAACAAAATAAATATTTTTACAATTGTTTTCTCGGATTTTTTATTGAAGTGTTCTCAAGACAAATGGAATCAATGGAGATCAATGCAGGTCACATTCTGATGCCGATACGACATGCAAGAGTGGCGACAAAAAAAATCGATACTTGCATCTACGTCCATATGTGTGCGGTTTCGGCTGGGTGTGTACTTAGGCCACAAAGGATTCGAGCTTTCTTATTATTGTGATTTTTTTTATTAAATACTAATGTATTTATGTGCTTGACGAATATGCGAACAGTCTCATTACATTAGAAAATGTGAATAATTTGTAATCTAGATGATGAAGTAATGGAGGATAATCCATGTGAAGTTGAAGGAGCAACTTCAAACACGAGTAGTCCAATAACAGAAAGCAGTGAATCAATAGGAGATGATCAGGCTGCTCGTTTTAAAAATCTTTATGATAAATATAGTTCACAACAAAAGGAATTAGAGAGGTGTGAATTTCCATTTTCATCTTTTCAATATTTGATAATTTCAGATTAGAAGAGCAGAATGCGGAGTATCGCGAAAAACTGTTAAGAACAATTCGGGAGAGAGATTTGAATGATGAACTGCTTCGGAATGTACGAGAAGAAACGAAAAAGGAGAACGATGACTTGAAAAAGAAACTCAAAGATACAGAAGTTCAGCTTAAAACTCTGCAAGTAAGTGAAAGTTGAGTATCAGTCATTTCTTCTCCGATTTTCAGGATAAAACTTCTGTTCAAGAAACTCAGTTCAACAATACCATCAAGGATTTGAGTACAAAGTACAATACTTCTCTTTCTCAGGTTCAACACTTCTTTGAAACATTATCTGATACAAACTATTCAGATGTCAAAGAAAGCTGATCAGGCGGAAAAAGACAAGAATGAAGCTGTTATAAAGTATGCTACTAGAGAGGCAGAAATAATGAAAGTTCGAGCTGAAATGCAGAAGAAAGATCAGGTAATTGAAAGTCTGCGGAGATATTCACCAAATTGAATTCTTTGAAGGAAGTCAAGGAGATTGCAGTTGAAAAGGAGAAGCTCTTGAAGTGTCAAGATCAAGAGAATGTGGAACAGTTAGAAAAAACAGTCAATTCTCTTCGTGTCGAGCTGGAAAAAATAAAAAATGAGAGATTTGATTTGGAAAATCGACTCAAAATGTCTGAGAAGAGGCTAGATGTTTGTTGTTTTTGTTTGGTTTTTATTAAAAAAATTTATTCAGGCATCACAAACCTCCATTAACGAACTGAAACAGCATTGTGAAGTTCTGAGAAAACAACTTATTAATACGAAGGAGGAAAGAAGTCAATTGTATAATGAGAATAGAGAACTATCAGCTAGAAGCCAAGTGAGTATTGACTCTTATCTCTTGTTTTGTATTGTTTTCTCTTTACAGTTACAAGAGAATCGTCTCCAGCAAGAAACAGAATCAGCAACAAAGTTCCAATCAGATTATGAGTTGAAGTTTCATGACCTGAATGGAGAAGTTGTTCGTTTGCGATCGGAGAATCATAATTTGAATAATAGGATGGATAGCATAACTAAGTGAGCATTAGCAATCTTTAGTAGTTCTGAGATTTCTGGATTTCAGGGAGAACTTAGACCTCATTACTAAGTTACAAAATCTAGAAGATAAATTGGAGCTGGAAGAAGAAAATCACACTATATCTAAAAAAGAAATTCTTCGCTTATCCTTGTTTGAATCGCAAGTCAAAAAGTCTGTTTGATCCTCTCCCTATGCTTGTAAACTTTCCTTCTTGCTTCAGGAATTTGGAGAAGGCCGAGAGATGTGAGAAAGCACAGCTTTCAGCAGAGCAAGATAGAGATGTTTGGAGTTGACGAAAAAATGTTTTCAAAACTATGAGTTCAGATAGCAGAAAAGGAAGCGGAAGAGTGTCGACTTCAAGCTGAAAGAATGCTTCAAATCACGGAACAATTGAGTCAAAGAAACAGTCAGTTTGCGAGTGACACGGAACGGGAGCGGGAAAAGGTTTCTCATTTCTTAGATTATATTCTTATTACTTTTTACCTTGAAGAATCACGTTCTGGAACAGGAACTAGTTCAAATCAAAGGGAGTCTTTCTAGAGCTGAGAGCCGGATTTTGGATTTGGTATGTTCGACTGACGGATTATCCCTTAATGGTCTTATTATTACAGGACAAAGATTTAAAGGAAGCTCAAGGATCCTCTGACAGCGAGAATAGTCGTTTGAAAGAGGAACTGAAACTGAAAATACAGCAGGTTCAAGAATTGACTCAAAAGCTAACAGAAGAAAAGAATGACTCCGCTGCTTACAAAAGAAAGCAGACTGCCAACGTGAAGGTACTGCTACAAAAGGAAATTGAATTACTAAAAGCAATCGTATTTCAGGAATTGAAGCAAGAGCTGTCTAATTTAAGAAAACAGCTGGAGTCAGGTCATTCGGACAGTCTTCTGAGTGCTTCAACCTCAAATAGCAACTTGCCTAGTATTTCATCTCGATCCAGAGCTAGCTCTATAACTAGTCTAGATAGGACCACTGTAGGTTTTTGTATATACTGCATAAAACAACTCTCGTATCATCAGAATTGTTCACAAGAAGAACATCCCAATAGCACCGTAAGCCAAAAATCTGAAGAGATATCCACTTCTATGCAACAAGCTATGGTTGATAAGGTAGTTTGTTTTCTCGTAATGGAAGTATTATTTTCCTGCTCCAGATTGTGCAATTGCAACGAAAATTAGCGCGTCGAACAGAGAAGATTGAATTTTTGGAAGAGCATGTGAAGCAATGCTTGGAAGAACTTCAGAAAAAGACAAAGTTGGTCTCTCACTCGTTCCATGTTACATTTGTTTTTCTTTAAGGATCATTCAAAACTATGCTCTCAGAGAAGAGTCGTCGCTGCTTTTGCCTCAAGACGCTTCCCTGGACCAGGTAACTAAATGTTTTTATTTCAAATACTTTTCAACTTTTTAGCTTTTTGATATTTGTGAGATAGTTCAGGCAAGTAATATGTTGTGAAAAGTGATATTGTGATTGTTCTTATTTGGTTTCGTGTCCTGTAATGAGTTAGTCTCCCCATTCCAGGTGCCAATGTTGAAAAAAGGAACTAGTTATGCTCTAATGGGGTCTATCTTCAATACGGGAGAGAAACGGAGTCTCCAATTAGTAACAGAAGTAAATTCGCGTCTTCAAGCTGTGCTCGAGGATACGCTGCTCAAAAATATAACATTAAAGGTTTTGTTGAAGCTTTTTAAAATAATGAAGAGTGGTTTACTTCAGAATTCTGTGGAGTCGCTGGGAAATGAGATTTCTCGCTTGTCTCGTGAGAATAGAGTTCTATTGATAACTCAAGCAAAAGATTAATTTAATTTATCATTCATCTAGTCATATAACTTCTTTCCCAATGTGCCACTGCTGGTAACACCTCTCCTCTTGTACCTGTGATATTAGTCTTTTCTCCTTTTGCATTTTTTTTTAAATCTACCAAGTCGCCTCAAAGGTTTAACAGATTTTATATTTGTATAAAAATATATTTTATTATTAAAAATCTGAATATCTTTTGGTTTTTATGGCATTTCAAAGAAGGTCATCGGTGTCCAACTGAATGACCGTATCACTTTTCGTCTCATTTTTCGACCCAAAATCCGACACAGTCGTTCCACTAACCGTCGTATTCCTTAAAAATTCTATAATTATCAACATCCTAACGGAAAACTACCTTCTATATTTATTTAAATTATGGTTTGTATCATTAGGAAGATGTGTCAGAAATGTGGAAGGTAATGGACCTGCTTGACAGTCAAAGCTCATGCTTTTCTTTTTCGCATTTTTTTGCTCCATGAGCTGACGATTTGGATATTTGAAGCTGACCTGTAATTACGACAGTGTTTCAAGTTTTCAGGAGCTTTCCCTCACTTTTTTCTTCAATTTTTTCCAATTCAATGTGCTGAACTTGATTGGAGAAGCTTTTCTGAAATTATGATATGCAACTGTGCCGAAACCCGTATCTCACGCTTCTATATGATTGTTAAGAGGAACCGTACTGGTTCGTCGAGTCGCCGTTGTTTGGAAGCTTTCAGGAACGGGAATGTTGAACTCTGGTAATCCTTTTTTGAGCCTTCTCTCTGCCATTGCGGATCTTTTCTTGTTTCGAGCTGAAACAATATATGTTTGAAAAGTGAAAAGTAGGTTGAAATATGACAGAAAATAATAATGAGAGAGAAGGAGTGAAAGAAACAGAAGAAAGTCTATGAGAAGATTTTCAATTCAATTCAATCATACCATATACGGAAGGGTCAAAAGCTGTAAGAATAAGTGAGGATATTAGATTGAAAACAATAACTTATCCACCCAAATTAATTTGAATAAAAATCAAGCGAAACGAACTTACAGTATGTTTTCTGATTCATGTCTGTGTGCCCCGTATTGAATCCGTTATTTCGCAAAACACCCAATAATTCATAGCGGAAAGCACTTATATCCTTAAATGGTAAAATTGAAAAACAATTTCAAAAATTTTTTGTTGTTGTTTGTGTTTTACCTGTTTAATCTCATTGACATCATCTTCGCTCACTCCTTCACTCTGCTGTTTAACACGTTGCATCTGAGCGATATACCGTTTGACCAAATTCCGAGTCACAAACTATAAATATAACTATTTAGTATAGAGTTCTTTCTTTTGTAGCTGATGATGGGGGATGAAAATAAAAAAAAAACATTTTGCTCAATAAAGCAAGGCATTTCACACTCCGTCAAACAGAACGGTCACGACGAAGGAACGATATGATTAAGCTCCGCATGGATTGAAGGGGGCTTGGATGTCTGGTACAGGATGAGAACTATTTTTTGGCCCAAAAAAAGGAAATAAAACAAAGGAAACTCTACTTTCTAGCAGAAGCTCAAATGAAGCTTTATCTAAATAGAAGTTCCGAAACAGATGAAGAAGAAGCAAACACAAGACACACAACTCTTATAAGGATTATTATGCTATGATTCACTAGAATATAGTAAATAATCGATATTCCCATAAAAATAAATAAATAATATATATATATATATATTTATGGTAATATAAGTTACCATGAAATTCTGCTCTTTTTTACAGATGGTTGTTAGTGTCCGCTGAAATGGGACCCACATTAGGAAGAAGCTTAAGACTTACACGATAATTATTTTCCCGATCATTCACTTCTCGAAGAATACGTTGGTTCTACAAAAAGATGTTAGCAGTGTTTTGTTTTCTATCTTTTCGTTTAATTAAACAGAATATAAATGCAAAAAAAAACAAAACAAAAAATGTCTTTTTTTTGGATGAAAAATGAAATCGTCAGATATACCCTCATACTCCGCTGTTTGCCCGCCTGGATAGCTTTCGAACACTTACAGTAACGATCACATAGCCATTTTATTCCTGGAACGTCAGTATTTATTTATTTCATGTATTGGACTGGTATATACCATAATAAAAACTTTTTGGGCTTGGTATTATGTTGAAGGGAGGTGGAAGGGTGGCTGTATCATCAAAGTACTCAATGAACAGTTTGCTCCGTGCGAACTTCCATTCAACATCGGCTTGATTCTGAAATTAAGTGGAAGACTTTTCTATACAAGTCCCTTCAGAACATACGGAAATATACTGATATGAGTTACTCATCATAGCGATCAACATGTTCAGAAGTACAATGATTGCACAACAAGAGTAGCTTCCAAAAATGGTCTTGCCCGTCCATTCCGTTAAGAAATGAGGTTCCTGCAAAAACTCAAAATGTTGATCCCTCTATTATATCAATGTTGAACCTTCAGAGTAAAATGAGATAAATCGACAAGTCCAAACATCGCCCAGAACAGCGTTTCAGATGTATGATATATGCTTAACCAGTCAAATTTGATAAAATCTGATTATATTTGTAAGATATACCTTGAGCATGCTTTATACTTGATATCACAAGACTCCCTGAAGCTTTCCCAATTAGCTGGGCGCGCTATCTCCTTGGGAGCATTCAACCATATACGATATTGCTCACATTCCTTCAAGACATATTTCATTTTCAGTTTAATGGGAAAGATGATTTCTCACTGTTTGTCTCATGGAAGAGTAATACCACATCAGCTGATTCAAACCACAAGCAAAAGCAAAGAGAACCAATGCGTAAACGAGAAAGAATTTCAGAATGTCAATAACCATTCTTCCTTTAATTATGATGATGAAACTTCATATGCTTGAGCATAAGCTTTACCTAATGATATTTTGAGTGGACCAAGATGAGGATTAACTGTGAAAATATGAACAAGTTTAAGTGAAGAAAAGATGTTTGCAGTTGCAAATACACATTCACTGAGCAGTGTTGGATCGAACGCATCCCAATCTCGTCTTCAAAAATCAAAATGTAAATTAATTAAGTTATGATTGATACCTGACTATCTGAGGCCAATGTCGTCTGGATGGGTTGCGAAGCTCAGCTTGAACCTGTAAAGCTTCTCTTATCAAACTATCCAAGAGCTTCCTTGTTACCTGATAATAAGCTACAAATCTTAGAGCTGCTGTACATAAATACAAAGAGTTTGTTATGAAATCCAAGATGTTCCACAAGTTATAACAGTAATCATGAAGACCACAATCCCATAACTGTTTGATTTCTACCCATATTAAACCTTAACAATGAATGTTTATAGACATGTTCATGTATGGATGAGCTGTCGTACCAAAGACCCAAACCATGATGGCCATTTCGACAGGTGTCGGAGTTGTTCCACGACGTTCTTTTCTATCAAATTCCGATTCTCCAGTAAACATATTGTCAATTAGATCAATTCGTTGTGAAGCTAAGATGATCAAAACTAAATTGATTCTATTAATTTAGATAATTCAACTGAATATAATCTTACAAAGAAAAAAGATATAACTAGCTGAATGACACAAAAATTTGATAAAAGGCTTCTTTGTAAAGCTGGATATAGCTGATTGTGGAGCGATGAGATATACTAATGAAAGTAATGGAAACGATAATGAAACCAGAAATATCAGAAGGCACTAAAACAGATTTGTCTATATATGGAATATGCTTATGTTGCCTTTTTACCTTAAAAATGATATTCCTATTACGAAAACCCGGCAATCCTTCATACCAAATACCAGCAAGTAGTTGTTGACAATTCGGATGAGCAACAAACTGAAAAACGATCAAATCCATCATTTCACATCATCATAAGTATCGTTTTACTCTTTTTTGACGTAGCTTTATGGCTAGCTTGAGACGAGATAACTGCTCAGTTGTTGGAGATCCACGTGATTTTACCTTCAAATCAAAGAGATGTATGATTCAGTGATATATAAGGGAAGATTCAACCTCTTCCCAAGCACTTGTTGTGTGATTGAGGACTATCTCCAGTTCTTTCGATCCTCTCACTTGATCCAACATATTTACAGAAAATTTTTGACATTTTTGGGATAATTCCTTGAATCAGAAGGTTATTGGAGAAATTATGCTGATGCTTATCTACCTGATATTCACTACGAAATTCATTTTCGATATAAGATAATCTACGAAGTTCATAACTAAGTTCAAATGCATATAATATTGGATCTTTAGCTGATAAACATATAAGTGATGGACTAGCTAATGCTCGATAAGCATTAATCCGAGATCTTGATAGTCTTAACGAATCTTCTTCGCGTGCCTAAAAAAACTTTTTTTTTAGCTCAATCGTAAAGCTTCAAACTTACTAATTCACATTCAGGACAACAACAACGTACATCGTGTGGATGTGGAACAACACCTTTACGATCCAAAAATAATTTAATACATTCATAATTATCTTTATGAGCAGCTAGGATGATGGGTGTGATGTCAGGAGTAAAAGCTGAATGTTCGTTGATTTCAACCCCTTGGTTCTGCAATGGCAAACATGAGCATGTTTTCTTATCTTTCATGACTTCATAGATTTCTGTTTCACATTTTTCTTTTTCTGTTAACAAGGAATAGGAAAAGCATCTTAAGAAACACATTTACATCTGTTTATCTGTGTTTAATTCCTTCCCCTACTGCCACTCTCTCTCTCTCCCTCTCTCTCTCTCATCTATAGTTACTCTCCTATAGTTGATCTCAAAAGTTCCTTTTTCATCACCTTATTCATAAACAAATTTAAAATTTAAATGTTAAGAAAACAATTTTTCCTTACCTCCGGATCGAATTTATCAATTTTTTCTAAATGATGAACCAAAATCTCAACAGCTTCCACGTTTTCCTCTCCAATCGCGTATAGAATGGCATCGCCCGTCTAGAGTAATTGAATTGTCAGTTAAAGTTTAAAGAAATATTCAAAAACTTCAATGTTATTATCCAATAATAGTTCGATCATCTCAATATTTTCATTTTCGATGGCGATCAATAGTGCATTTCTTTAATATATTGTCAAAAAAGATATAGTTAATTACAAATAAATGAAAAGCTTAAACCTTCCCAATGGATCAACGCAATTGATGGTAAAGCCGGGAACAGCTTCTGATAAAAGCTTTCGTACACTACCAATATCTCCTCGTTCACACGATAACAAAAATTGCTTTTCAATAAATCGACTGTCAGCTGAAACAATAAAGATGTCTTATTCTCTTTCTTATTCATTTTCTTCTTCTTCTTCTTCTTCTTTCTCTACTGCTGCTTCATCGTCTTCATCATCATCTTCCTCTTCTTCTTCTTCTTTCGCCTTCTTCATCTTTTTCTCTCTTTTTTTTCCAATTCAAATTATCGTTTGTGTCCTTCGTTTTGCCTTGTGGCGACGATGATTGGAAAATCAAATTTTGAATTTCTCGCTTCTCCTGTCCATTTGCATTCAAAAATATTGGACGGAAATAAAGATTTTGTTGAGCAAAAATTCTTTTGAAAATTATGACCTTTTCTCTAAAAACTTACTCTCAAATGAATACAAACTTCCAGCAGCTTCTCCACTCGAATCATGATGTAATAAAGCTGCAATAACAGTCAATATGCAAATGAATGTAACATATAAGGCAACTAACGAGGTTTAGTACGTTGTGTTTGTGTTACTGTTTCAACTGCTTGATCAGTGAGATTCATGTCGTTGTCATATTAACTATAATTAATAATATAATTATTATAAAGTAGAATAAGAGATCGAAAGCATAAGCTTATAAGACAACCGCTTTTTGCAGAAAACAATACAAAAATAACATTTTACGTGAATGAAACGTGAAAATGACGTGTCACCATACGTGCAAAGAGAGGATGGGAGGATTCACGTGCATTCACACATCTCACACGTTCATCAAAAGAGGCTAGCAAAATATAATGAATGAGAATTATCAAAAACCTCTATAAAGAAAGAAAAGAGAAAAAAGGAGAGATTAGGGAGAGGGGGAGAGAAATGCAGAAGAACGACCACCATTACTCTGAAATAAAAAAAAACAGAAAAAATGAGACATACGAGAGACAAATTGACAGATGAAAGGCTTTGGCTGTTTCAATGTTGGGCGTTAAAACTATTTTGTTAAATGAATAATTAATGAGCTTATTCAATAAAAAAGTTCATCAACTTTGAGGGCTTCAGGGTTAACACAAAAAATGCTTCTTCTTCATCTTCATTCAACATCCTACCAACTACATACATTTTATGCAAATTTTTAAACGAAGTTCAGAACATTTTTTTTTCCTCAAGATTTTCCTCCTATAAACGGCCGATATGAGCCCTAGGGGATGAGAGAGAGTAGAAAAAGCCATATGACTTGTATTTGATACGAAAAGTGAAGATGAGAAAGGGAAGAACTCTCTCTCTCTCTATCTCTCTCTCTCTGTCTTTTCCGTTTCAAAAACTAAAAAATCAAGCTACGGAAAAGATAAAGAGAGACAGGAAGACAGGGAGAGAGAGAGTGATGGGAATAACCTTTGAAACGAACACTTTCTTTTCCTTTTTTTTTCCTTTTTTTTTTTTATAAATATTTGACTTTTAGTTGATCCATCGCTCTTAATCCCCTACTAAGCGAATGATGAATTCTCTCTGTGGGCTTACAAAAAAATATTTTTTTCTTAATTAGCTTAAGAAAGAGAGATTATTATTTTAGAAAAGATGTTACTTGAAGAGTTTCTGACATTTCAGCTTTTTGACTTTTTAAAATGATGATGATCAAAAACTTTCATTATATTTCTTCAAATCTCTCTGTAGCCTCTCTCTGCTCTCTCTCTCATCTCCTCTCTCTTTCTCTCTCTCTCTTCTAAGAATAAATTATCTGAAACGTTTGTGCGAAAGTGCACGAGTTGCCTTAGGCGTGTCCAGCAAATTTAATCTCATGGACCAAGTTGTTTGTCCTTCTGAAGAAGATTTAAATGAAAATGAGAATAAGAGTACTATAAAAAGAAGTAAAAATAACGACGAAATAGACTGTTGAAGAAAGAGAGTCAGAGAGATGTAAAGAGAGAGAGAGAGAGAGAAGGAAAATAAAAAAATTTGACAGAAAGAAAAAGTTAAGAGAGAAAGAGATAGAGAGAGAGATGGGGTTAGAAGAGAGTGAAGATGATTGAAAGGAGCATTGAAAGAGATGTTAATGCAAAGAGATTTTCATAACTGTGGAGAGAAACACAAAGAGAAATGGTTAAGAGAGTTGAATAGGGGGGGGGAGAGGAGGTTGATGAACAAAGAGAGAGAGAGAGAGATGAAGAAGAGAGGTTTTCAAAAAAGATTATTATATAAGTAATATATCTGAACGAATTCTCTAGATAACTAAGGATATAAGCTCAATCTGAGTTGATGCAATTTGCCACCCTCTCGTCCTTATTCTATAGAAATAGATGACGATTCGATTGAAGAAAAGAGCTGAAAATTGAAAGAAAATTTTTCAAGAAAATTTATTAAAATGAAGTTCTTTTTTTCTTTTTTGTTGCAAAAAAAGAAAAAAAAGAAGAAGACAGCGATGCGATAAAGAGAGAGAGAGATTCACGTTCACGCACAAGTGATTGTTGGCTTCACACATCGTTATCAACAAGAGAAGAGGATTCAGAAGAAGCGGGGAGAAAAAAAAAAAACGATCAAAGCGTTCTGGAAGTTTTGATTTTCAAATGGAACAGAGTGAGAGAGTTAATACTCTCGAATAACGATGGAAAAAAATTAAAAAAGTATAAGATGTAATGAGAGAGAGTGTATAGTTACGAGAGAAAGACACAGTGACAGAGAGAATGTGGGGAAGATGTGAAAGGGATGGAAAATGAGGGACGAAGAACAACGAATGACAAGAAGGGAGAACTCATAAGGACCTTCTTTATTTATGCAATTATTGTTCTTCATCTCAGCTCTACTCTTCTAATATTTTGCTCCCCGAAGGGCTTTTCTGGGTGGGTAGTAGCTTCGCAGATACCCATGGCTTGTGTGAGTCCATTGAAAGCAAAGTAGTTTTTCATTACTTAAAAATTATAGAATATTTTATATTTATTAAGTATATTAAGATTAAATAAAAAGATTTAATATAGACAGAGAAATGACGGTGGAGGAGGGGGGGGGGAGATCAGGAGATGGAAGAAGGAAATGAAAACGAAGATGAAAACGAAGGAGAACAAGAAGAACACGAAGATGATCTTTTCTTTTTGGTCAATCTGAGTATTTTGAGATGGGCTAGCCAAAGCGATTGGCTAACATGTCATGTCATCTGAACTCTATCAAGCTAGGAAATGATAAAAGCTGACATCTAACATCTGTATAAAATGATTTTTTCAATTTTAATACTTACTATCATTCACCCTCTCACTTTCTCTCTCACTCTCTCTGTGTAAAACAAAATAAGGAGTGAAAAAAAAGCTTTACGAAGATAAACGTCGTCAACGTTGACGACGATCAGACGAAAAATAAAGAAGAGCGCACGCGATGAAATGACGACGACAAATTTCGGGCAACATGGCCTGTGAGAGCCCCAAGATGCTAAAATTTTTCTTACGATCAAATTGAATAATCGTTGTTAGCATATCAATCGGCTCACAAGGTTCTTTTATAGAGATGTTGCACACATAAAAAATCATTTTTTTTATTCTCTTTCTTCTCTTTCTTCTTCAGAATCTTAAAGAAGACGACGAAGCATCATGATGATAGAGAAGGAAAAGCTTGAAGAATAAATCCTTAAGTGGCTTTATAGATGAGAATTTTGAACCAAAAAAGACATCAAATCATGATACTTGTCACTTCAGCTTACATCTTTTTCCTTCTCCACTTCCTCAGTTTCTTGCTCTCTCTTTCCCTCCCTCTCTGTTATCTGTCTCTCTTTTAACATTTACGTTAAATCTTCTTTTTCAATTCAGCTTCATCTTTGCTTATGACTCATTAGCCACTTAAACTACAAATTAAAGCAACTGTCGCTGCAAATGCCTTCAGGCTATTAAAGCTAATTGCTGTTAAATATTTTTCAGAGAAATTAGCAAATCAAAAAAAAATTTATTTTGGTCTACAAGGCGGAACGAATATAACGGCGGAGGGGGGAGAGAATTCATCAAAAAATTGATGTCGTGATCAGCTTCTTCTTGCTCATGTCAGAAGGTCAGAATATTTTTTTTGTCAACGTGAAAAATACGACAAGGAAAAAGTAGACGTGAGAAGATAGATGATGAAGAAACAGCTGGAGATAGAGAATTTAAAGTTTCCTCCTAAATATCAGAGGCATGTTATAGAGGGATGAAAACAAGGAAACACAGATAAAGAGAGGGAAGGGTTGAAGGGAAAAGAAAAGAGAGAAAGGGGAAGGTGGGGGAATAAAGGACAGAAGAAGGGAGGAGCAAGTGTAGACGAGGAGAAAAGCAACCGTTTTGTTTTCTGATGATCTAAAAAAACGATCAGACGACGCGTGTAAGTTCACGCCATCGGTTTCCACGTGTAAACTCACGTGAATATTAGAATACGTGAAAGGTAGGAAGTAAAAGAGGAGGAAGAATGTAATAAAAGAATAAATAAATAATTTGTAAAAAGATCTGCTTTGTTTTGTGAGAAATGAAATAAAAACAAAATAATTGAAAGGTAAGAGAATCTTGTGAATGATCTCTTCTACTCTCCTTCGCCTCCCTCTCTCTCTCTCAAGAAATAAAAGAAAAACGAAAAAAGAGGAAGTAGGAACATTGTATTTATTATTATTATTTTAGGAATAAAGAGAAGTTGAAGATAAAAAGAATGTCAGAGGACAAGAGGGAGAAGGTTAAGGGGGCTGAGAGACAGAAAAGGAGAGAGAGACGGAATGAGGGAGAAGCTTAAAAAAGAGCGGAGCAATCGGAAAATGAAAAAAAATTAAAAAGAAAGTTTGCGTTCAAAGAAAAAGATTGTTCGTTTAATTAAAAAATTAAATGAAAAATTAAGAAGAGAAAGGAGAGAGAGGGGGTTGCGAGGGGTGAGATGGGAGGGAGGAGAGACGGGGAGGGGTGATGGTGAGGGGGGGGGGGAGAGGAGAATAAAAAAGTAAAATAAAAGCAAGACAATGTTGTAATGAAACATGAGAAATGCAAAGAAATTGGATAATGAAGACATAATGTGTCGTCAGAAGAAGAATCTGAAATGTTGACGACGATCATTCAAAAAGAATAATATATTATATTGATTATATGTATAGTTATTATGTAACGAATCTTTTGTGGGAAGAAGCTGAAAGAGAAAAAAAAACTCAAATTTCATAAGCTTTACCATAGCTGAAAAACATCTTATGGAAACATAATCTCTGGATATCATCAGACAACTTTCAACTGTCTTGGCCTATTTGTAACTTTATTAATTCATCAGATTAAGCCTCCAAACATATCACAGACAACATCATGTAAGCATCTTATCACCCGAAAAGAGAGGTTGTGTAAGGATGCATTTCATTTTTTGTAACAAAAAAATAAGAAAGAAAAAAAAAAGAAAACAAGAATGTTTTAATAATCAAATCCCAATACGGCAACTTCCGTTTCCCATTCCAAATCGATGTAAGTGAAATTCCAGACAGTTGGCTGGCCGAAATGAGGTGAAACGACGTTGGTTGATGCCCAGCTAAAACATACATAATTGTTTTCTTTTTCATGAACAAGTGAGAGATGAGGCAAACATAGAGAGAGTGTTTTAAAATGCTTGAGAGTTATCAGAAAAACAAAACATATTTGATTACCTGAAAGGTGGGAGAGGATCATATGGAGGTCCACCCCAGGCGCGGAAACGAAGCTTCTTGAACATCTCATAGTTTGTTCCCTTAAAATATTGAATGAATATTTGATCAGTATCATAAGATACCTTATAATCAAGTCCTCCGTGATTACGGAATCCCATGCTTTCAACTTCATAAGTTCCGTTCACAGGGTTCAAATCACCACGAGCAGAGATTCCAGCCTAATGCAAATGATACTATAACTTTCAAAGTTTGTGGATGGAGCATACCTCGGCAGTGTATGGGGGATTGCATTTACATTTGGCGAACTCATCATGAGTATAATCATTGTATCTATGAGGTTAGAATATTTCATTTACAAATGGTATTGTTGATTACCTCATAAGCTTGGTCAAGGAATCAATGTCTTGAACCTTATTGTGATCACGTTGGAAGATGCGAGCACGTGGAGAAGCTCCCCATTTGTACCAATCATATTGAGCTGCCTAATTACATTATGGATGAGTAATCTGATTGTGCTCATCTGATTAATACCTTAAGATTGAATCCAGAAACAATGGAGACATCAGTCAAATATGGAATATTATATGATGGGAAGTAAGTGAAACGTTTCATGAACCAAGTCATATCTCTTGTAGATGTGTATCCTCTTTAATAATTAGCAAAAATTTATAATAGTATATATGAAATACTTACGGAGTTTGTTCCAGAATCCAGATGAAGTCCTTTTGAGGAGTAGCCTGTCCGGGTTTGAATAATTTATAATCAACAACAGTCCATTGATTATTATATGTTCCAGAGTTATACTTGGCGAATAGATTTACCCAGTCTTTGGATGTTCTAAGCGATAATGCATTATTATATTATATAGTTAATATAATGATTACTTGGTTAAGGCATTACTCAAGAATGACCTAATCCAACAATGGACTTGTCCTTCTGGCTTTATAAATGCGTCTGTGTATAAGGTGTTGTTGAAGATAGCAATGGTTGTTTCGATTGAAGCCTATAACCACAAGTTTAATCTCATGAATGGAATGTAAGAGATTACCAATCCAGCGCTGGTCAAAGTATAATCATCAGCAGATGCTAAAGCTGCAGGGTATCCAGAGAAAGAAACAGTATGTCCGGGTACTTCAGCCTTATCTAGAAGTCAAGACTGATAGAGTTAAAACTTATGCAGCTTACCATAAGCGAACTTGTAGAGCTTCAAAACTCTGTTCATGGTACTGTAGCTGGACATGGCTACGTGAGAGAAGAAGAGATCCTTGTTTCCATCGGCAAATTTGACGAATCCAGAACAACGTCCTGCTTCAGGGTACTCTTGTGGATCGGGAGTCTTGTTAAGATATTTGTTCAAATCGAATAATTCTCCAGATAATTGAATCATACTGTAACAGGTCAACTAAATACTCTTCCGTCAACATCCCTAACTGACTAGATTGGATGAAGATCGAATCCGATTTCAGGTGTTAAGTTTCTCTTCATGTAACCATCATACATACCGGTGATTTGAGCGAAAGTCAAGTTAACCTAAATTTGGAATGATTAAACATGAAGCATGATGTAATCAATTACATGTCTCCAGTATGGATCATTTGGATCATTGGCAACAACTTGAGATCTCAGCCAATCAAGATTCTTAGACAAGTATTTGTACAAACGCTTGCAGTATAAACTTAAAAAACAAAGATTAATGAAGCTTGTCAAAGTACAAACATACGTGTGGTTAGTGCAGAGTTCCTCGATAGTGTTGCGGTAATGATAATAGATTTGAAGACGAGTGAGTTCACCTGTAAATTAGGTTCTTCATACTTCTATGTTCTGCTGAGTACTTACCTTCAGCAACACCGGCAGCGTAAGCTTGAACATCATAAGGGAAACCGCTGAATGTTTCGATTTCTAAGATTCCCCATCTGAATTGAACAGTTATATTGATTTCATTTAAATTGGAACAAACCCTGTGGTGTTAACTTGATTTGTGTATCTTCCTAAAGCGATTTGACTTCCATTTTCACATTTCTTTGAATACTGGATTTCGAGCAAATCGGTGCTTGTTCCATTTGTACAAACAGATAAATAAGTGTAAGGGTATTGAGAAGTTCCGTGAGGATTTGATGGTGATTTCTAAATAAACTTTAGTACACCTTTAGCTAATCTTTTAAAATTACATTTGTGTTCAAAAAATCTCTCGAGCTTCTGGCTGAAGCTGCCACAGCCAAGCAGGTTACAGCAAGAATGAGACGAATCATCTGAATTGGAAAGATGGAACAACTAAGGAATGTCTAGAAAACAATGAAAAAAAAGAATTTTTTTTCGTTTAAAGTGGAAATAATAAAAGCAAAGACGAAATGTTCGAGGCTCACCAACTCGGGCGTAATCACCTTCAGCTTCTGATTATTATTGAAACACAGATAAGATGAATCGAATGATATGATAAAATGTCCTTATCATCTCAATATGGATGTATTCTGTTAAAGATCAGACAGAAAATTTGAAAAAAAAATTGTTTTTCAAGTTCGAGAAGCTATAATCGTTTTTGAGGAAGAAAACTGTTCCACAGAGGTCAGATGAAGAAATACAAAGTTCATGAAAGCGGATACAGCATAGCTAATGAACTGAGTATGAGTAAACATATGTGAATGAAGTTTATAGTATGATAAGGTTATGACCTTAGGATCTATAAATAGAAACTGTCGCATCTACAACCTCCTACACCTTAACACCTCAACAGCTGGTTCAATACAAAATATTCGGACAAATTGTTATTTTTGAATAAGATTACTGTATGATGGCTGAAGAGGATATTTGAATTACGAAAACCGCAAGAAGAGTTTAACGTGATGGATTTCGTTGATTTTTATTTATTTTTACCTTTTCACCAACAAATGGCATTCTTTATTTCTTTTTTCTTCTTTTTGATTCCTTTTCTTACACATCCCAATGACGGAAAACAACCCCCAAGTGGGTCAGCTGTGCTCTGATTTCTTCCTCCATCCAGAAGAATGATTCTGAAGATAGTTAGTGATAGAAAATAGTTAATATATTATATAGATGAATGTTGGAGACGCAGAGAAAGATTAGATGAAAGAGAAAGAGATGGCTTTACAGAGAAAATGGGGACAACTTACTTAACCATATCTCGCATCTTCTTAAAGTTAAATAAGATGTTTCCAATACATACGTTGTTGTGTTCGTTTTGCTCTTCATTTGAATTTCCTTCTATTGACGTGTGAACATCACGTGAACTTCACGTAACAATGCGCTCAATGAGATTTTCATTTCACGGAAATGAACGTAGAAAATCGGTTGTGCGATTGTTGTTGTTGCGTTTTAAGTCATTCGTTCCTATATTTTCTCTCTCTCATTCATTCTCTCTCTCTCTCTCTCTCTCTCTCTCTCTCTATCATTCTCTTTCAGTTAGTTTACTTCTTATAGTATGATTATCATAACCATATTCATATAATTAATGAATAAGATGGCAATTCTATTGTCTTTCAACATAATAATCATCAATCCATAACTGTCGGTTGCTTTGTTCGAGAAAATATTTCTTTTCAAACGATATGTGTGACGGTTTTGCTTTTTTTTTTTGCTTTTTTTTTGTTTTTTCTCTCACTTTTATGAGTTTTTTTGAGATCTTTTAGTCTTTTTCATTCTTTTTTTGTTGCGAGGGGAAGATTCTCTCCATCAATCATTTCTATTCTCTTATAACCTTAGAGCAGATGTTATAGTTGGGTTAATGTGCTGATTGATGAATTGGAATGTAGCTGATAGAGTTCATGAAAATCTTTTTCTTTCACATTTCCGTTTCGTCTATAGTTTTCTGCAATTTCTTATATTATGGTTAACTCGATCAATATTCATATGTCATATAAATAGTAAATCTTACATATACAAGATACATATTATATAATTATGAATGAAATATTAGATAAGTGAAATGGACAGACACATGAAATCTTCTCTTTTTACATTTATTGTCTCATTGTTTCTCATATCTGTGTGTATGTGTGTGTTTGTATGTCCATGTATGGATGTGTGTGTGTGTGTTCTCTTTTTATTCAAGAATTTCCATAAACAGCTTGGAAGAGCCGGTTAACAGATAGAGAGTAAGAGAGAGAAACAGAGAGAGAGAGAAAGAGTGAAAACGAGAAAGATGGAGGAATGAAGAATGATTGAATGTCCAACTAATTTCGTTCATTCTTAACTATATGTTCTATGATTAGTCATTTCTAATCAGTAGTATTGCTTCCTTTAAATATGTTCTTTCATCTTCAATTATTTGAATCAATTCTTATGGATATATCTGTATTGAATGAAATGTTTCTGAGCTCTTCTTTGATCTTCTTTTTTGGCATCGTCTGCCTCATTCTTATTCTCATTCTCTCTCTTTATCCATATTCGACATTTCTTTACAAATCTGTGATGATCTTAATAGACGAATGGAAAAGATACATGAGATCTTCCTTTATATCTCTTATTCTCTTTATATTCATATTACTCTCTGTATTATTCTCTCTATTGGTTAGCAACAGCATGAGGCTAAGCAAAGTTGGGATTTGCTGAGAGGATTAGGGTCAGTAGGGCTTGTGGCATCGTACCGAAGGTTTCAAAGATGGCAATAGAAGGCTGCCTTTTCAAGTATCATTGCTGCGTCTTCTATTCCATAAGCTGCTCATGCTATTTCAAGCGAATCTTCATCATGCGTTCCGTATATGAGCATTGAGAAGCAGTAATAAGTTTCTTTCTTTATCTTCCTTACCTCTTAGCCTATGCTCTTCATATTCTGATGCGTGTTTCTTTTATCTCTACCTCTCTCTCATTATATTCTGCTCTATATGGAAGTATGAAAGATCTATCTAGCAATATGTATATAGATTGATTGAGAGAGCCTATATGAGTATATAGATAATCATAGAGGAAGAGAAAGAAAATGAATGAGAGAAACAGAGAAAACACAAAGAGAAGAGATAGATAGAGCTGAATGTACGAAACACCTTACAACAAGCCGGTCAACTCGGGTCGACCAGCCAGGTTGACCTCTTCCCGAACCGAGTTTTCACAGCTAGTACTCAATCGCTCTTTGGCTTTCTTTAACAGAAAACGAACACAAAAAAACTTTTTTTCTTCTTCCATCTCCTTATTTTCTGTTGTTTCGTCTTCCAGTTCTGCTCTCACATAATTGATATTTTGTTCAACTTTTTTAACATTTTTTAATTAAGTTGTTCATGAAATAAGAGCTTCGTTTTTCATAATTCGCCATCCTCTCACTCCCTCTCTCTCTCTCTCTATCTCTGCTTCTCTTTCTCTCTATCCTTGCCAATCTCTCCTATTCTATTCTCCTTCTGCTTCTTCTCCTCCTCCTCCAATGACAATAAATGAAATTTGGGATAATTTTAATTTTCGCTTATTTGACATTGTTTAATTTTCATATTTGATGTTGTCATAGCTATTGAAATTTCCATCTTTCAATCTTTATCTCTGAAATGATGATGATGATGATGATGATGAAGGAAGGAAGACAGAGAAGGAGAAGAATAGGAAAAGCAAAAGCTTTATTCATTCAAAACCATTTGTTATTCTTCTTTTTTTTCTAAATTTGAATAAAATATCCTCAAATAGCCTATATATGGACTGTAATTCTATCTTCAAGCTTCATGACCTCAGGGTATCATCTTTACCATATCATATAAATAACATATAAAATTTCATTATTATTCTAATTTGCTATACCTTGAAATGTGTGAATGAAAGGTTTTTCTATGATGGAACATGAGTGGAAACAGAAAACTGAAAGTTCACCTCTTCACTCGTTGCATGTTTCCTTTTCCATGTTTATCTTTCTTGAACTATCTCTCTCTCTCTCTCTCTCCTTCTCTCCTTTCCCATTCACTCCCTGTATCATTTTAGATTTATTTTTATGAAAAAAAGGTTTTTTCGCTATTCAAATCACTTATGACCTGCTTCGTCTGACGTTATCATGACAACATTGTCAAAGCTTTTGACAACTGAAAGTAGACAGTTGTCTTTCTTTGGCTGACCTTTCGAGAGTTTCTTCTCCTAATTTTCTACCCTTTTTACATTTTTTCTCCCCCACACGCACAAAAAAACCAACGAAATGTTGCCCAGCTGAAAGTTAGCTTGCAAAGAGCTAAGAAGAGTGAAGGAGAAAAAAAAACTTTTTTTTTTTCATGTGAAAACGAACGTCGTTAAGCCGTTTTTCTCCGAAATAGGCAATGTTTCATTTTCCAATGAAAAAGGCGTTGTGACCGGTTGTTTTCTCTCAGTTTTCTTACTTTTCTGCTTTTTCGTGTCAACGGAAGTCAAATTATATTTTTCTGTTTTCCAACACTTTTTTTATTCGTTTTGAACATTGGTCCGACTTTCTTCATTCCACATTCTCATGTTGCTTCGAGCTTAATGATAATTTCCTGAAAAGTTGAAGCTTTAAATTTTGAGAAATGGTGTTAAAAAAAACTTTTTTTTTTCTATTAAGTTTCTCTGGTTGTTGTAATAGAGATGGCTTATCACTTCTAACCTCACTGTTCTCTCTATTTCTCTGTCTCTCTCTCTGTATCTCTCTCTCTCTCTCTTATAACCCCTCTCTAAAGATACTTCTGTTCTCTTTCTCTCTCAACGTTTACGTCAAATTCTCACTCCTTCTTTTTTGTTCAAAGTTCCAACTGATCTGAGATGAAAAGGAATTCTGATGTGTAGGAGTGAGATGACTAGGCGTGTCTACGAGATTTCCGATGATCTGACCTTAAATTCGTAATATTTTAACTGACCAAATACAGCTGTTTCTTCATGTTTGATTCTCTCTTTCTCCATATTTAGAGCATAAGAAATGAGTTGTTCAAAAAGCATTTTTGAAAAGAGAGAAAGACAAAACTCTCTTCATCCTCTTCCTCTTTTTCTCCTTTTTTTTCTCTTCTTGTTCACGAATAGAGAGAGAGAGAGAGAGAATATAGTCTGAAAGGATGTTCGATAATTAAATTTCATTAAAATTTGAGTTGACTTTTGTGATTTTCGTCTTGCCTCTTCATTCAGCATACTATCTATGTTTAATATAAAAAGATTGCGTCGTCGTCTCCGTGTCAGGCAATAGTTTCATCTTTTACAAGCATCTCCTTCAGCTTTATTCGTTCAAGATGTTGTCTGACAGTTTGTGTTTCTCTTCTGTTATAATCTCGTATATTCTCTTGTGTTACATAGTGACTTTTATATTGAAAAACAAACAATTCGTACA